CCTGGGTCTGGAGTGGTGGGCTGGCGCAGGACAGAGCAGAGGCTCTCTCCCACACTCGCAGGGCCTGGAGTTGGTCGGATATGGAGGGCCCAAGGTGCCTGGTTTGCCTTTTTTATCTGCAACAGTTTTATAGATTAAAAAGTGGCCCTACTCTACTTCCGCCTTACCAGCAGCATAGGTGTGTCTTATTTTAGGGCACAATGTGAGCATTACCATTCAAGTGAACAATTAGTTGTCCACCAATGACAGTAAGTTTTCTAAGCTTCTTTAGTCTCATTTCATTAATACATTTTCAAATAGTGCATATATATATATATATATATATATATATATATATATATTTTACAATTTACATTTCCCTGGTGAGTAGCTATGGCCAGATTATAGGTCAGTGTGAAGCGTCCTGCTGTGTCTTGCATGGTGCATCCAGCTTGCATCCTAGACCTGTTGTCTGTGCAGCCACAAAGCCTTGCTTGGGTCTCTGCTGCCCAGAAGAGGGTCAGGTACCCAGAGGACCGAGAGGTAGGGACTCGCTTCAACATTTCCATAACTGCTATTTCTTTTAAATTCACCAGGGGTGTTTTAATAACTCATAGCTTACGAAAGTAATTTCCTCTGTAAGTATAACAGTAAGAAAGAAGGCTACTGCTGCCCCAAAGTAAGAGCCATATTTGACCATCCTAGTCCTCTGATAAATCCTAAATGTGCTACCTTGATCTTATTTCTGAACTTGCTTTAGAGTAAATGCCAGAATATTATAAACCATGCTTCTGGTGTCATTCAATTCATTCTAATTATTGATACTTTGAAACAAGTCTCCTTATCTTCTCTGCAGTTTCTATCATTTCTTTCCAAGAGCATGAGCTTAGTTTTCATATACTGCAGCTGAAAGTTTTCCTCCCCTTGACAAGTTCGACATTGCCATCTCCTTTCTTTAATTATGGCGAAGTGTTCATTACAAGAGTCTTATGCTGCCTTATATTCAATTGTTTCACTCACTGTGCACTTCCAGTGCAGCTTCACCCACTTCTTTAAAATGTTTCTTTGTCCATTTATTTATTTTTATTAAAGCATAAGGCTGGAACATAGGAAAGCTGTGTGCTCAAACTTGAATATTTTGGTTAACTTCCTCAGAGCACTCCAATTCATCATTATATTTTATTCTGGAAATGTTTGCTTCAGCTTTGTGCTTCAAGAGATTCATACTTCATAAAGTATGTCCCTCATGCTCCATAGGAATGGGGCTGCTAGAAGCCCAGGGCTCCCTGGAGACAGCTGGCATATACCTGCATCACAGCAGGCATTAGGTTAAAGCTCTGACTTTACCTGGAGTAAAGCATGACTTTTCTGGAGTAAAGCATTATCCAGGTTGTGCCTACCATGGCCTGCGAGCTGACACTGGTGCTCTCTCTAGCCTAGGCTTTGTTTCACCTGATTACTATTTCAGTCTCATATAAATGATTATATGTCTGGGATACTATAAATACAAGAAATGCAACAATATGTAACATTTTATTTTTTAATCTTAAAATAAATATACAAACCCTTCATCAATAACCTTGTATTTTTTTCTCACTTTGTAACAGTACCCTGATCACTTTATTCCCCAGAAGACTAGGAGTGGAAGCCAAGGAAGTTGCAAATGTCAAAATAATAACTGACAATGAAACTGGACATTTGGGAGATAGAAAAGCCAGGGTGGAACACTCTTTAGGCAGCAGTAATCATGAACATAAACTGAACCCATCAAAGACTATCTGTCCTTATTAAATAAGCACTCCACCCCAACTAGGGTGTTTCAGACAGAGTATAAGGAATAAATCCTCATTAAAGGGAGGCGGAGTGTTTTTCAGGCAAGGCAGGTGGGTAAGTGGAAGAAACTCCATGTGCCACCTCGCCAAGGAAACTGTCCAACAAGCTGAGTGCGGGCTTTACTAAAGGATTGTTGCATTTCTTAGGCTAATATTCTTGTCTGCTTCGCTTTGGTACAGAAAGGAAATGGCTCCCTATAAAAGTACCCTGACAAATGAAAGAGAAAGTAGCTACTGGGAGAAAAAAAAAAAAGATTAAAGGAAGTTGTACATCAAAATAACAAATCTTTTATTGAAAGTCACTTTATTGATGTTACAATGAGAGTAACATAGAAAACAGTAGTATTATATTAGCTTCGGAAATGAATACTAATAAAATTGTGCCAGATATTTAAACCTCAAGTTACAGTGACCTTTAAAAACAGCAAGATTTTGTTTACTTACAGTGTGAGAACAATTTCATAACTTTAACAGCCATAAAACAAATCACACTTGCTCAGGAATGCAGTCGCCATATACATTTCTATTGGTTTTTGCCAAAATCCAATAATTTTAAAATAGCTTAAGAACCTGAAGTGCAGAAAGAATGTTAAAATGATGCACAACTAAGTATATACACATGATTGCTTGGGTGTCAAAAGTGAAACCGTGCGCTGCACACCTCACAGGTGGCTGTCCTCATCTGCGGATGAGCATCACGCCTCCGACACTTCAGATGTGGGAGACACAAGCACAGGCCGACACCAGCAAACACAGAAACTGTGTTGATTAGGTAGAACACCCAGTTTCTGCAAGTTGTCTTTTGGGGATGCTAGTCTGGGGGACAACTCTTCCAACAAATGAAAAAAAATATGCTTATGCCGAATGAATGTTTTATGAAGCACTTTTGCAAACAGGGTTTAAAAAAGTTTTCCATACAAAAGAAAGGTGTTCGGCCTTTTTTACCCATTAAAAAGACTGCTTGTAGAATCACTTTGATTTTGTGCTCCATTAGAAAATAAAAGTAGCGTTTCCAATCAGGCAGTGATACACATGTACAATTTAGCAGGAACTCAATATTAGTAAGTGCATTAATTCATACCAGCACTTTCTGTATTGTGTTATCCGATATAACTTAGCACCTCTATGTTTAAAGATTTGGGGCTGCTTGCTTTATTTTAAAGCTTAGTTATCAAAACAAAAATCACAGCTTGAAATTTATAAAAGGCTGAACCCTATAGTGGATGAAGATCGGTGTATCTTTTTTTTTTTTTTAATAAACTCTGAAACTTGATGGTGTTGTGCACATTATCTTAATAACATTGCCTAGTTTCATTGAATGCCTTCTTGAAACCAAACAAGACAATTTGCCTACTTTGGTTTCAAAGATTCTTAGGAACACAAAATGATGGAGTCCTTGACCAAAACTCTGCTGCCCTTGAAGCACCCCCATGATACAGGTTCTATGACCACAGCAACACAGGACCACATGGAACTTACACAGCCAACACTTGGTAAACATGCAAAGCACACAGATCTGCCTTAGGTCCCCTGTACCTCTTTTCTTGCAACCTGCTTAGTGGCCATCTGAGTTCTGCTGTATGCCTGGTTTTTGCATTCTGCATGTGAGTGTCCACTGTGCCGTAATGCCAGGGCTAGATGCCCCATATCCCAGAGCTTGCTGCTTATTTCTTCCCCCTCCTGGAATTGACACCCTAGATCAGATCTCTCAGTGACTTTCCAAGGTTAATGATCCATGCCAGCGTCCAATGAAGGGACTAAAGATGCCTTACACCTTAAACTTTGCACCCTTACATTTCTCCAAATTTCCTCTGAAGCCAAAGAAAGCCCTACCAGCCATAACAGAAGTTCCTAGTCATGAAGAAACTGCTACACAGCTACTGAAGGCAGGGCTACTTCAGAAGTAAGGTGGCTCTGGAAGTGTCCCTTAAGCTAGTAGTGGGGAGGATGCTTACTGACTGTCAGCCCATGCTTATAAAACAGTAGAAATTGTCTTGGCAGGAATCCTTCATGAAGACACTTCATGTTGTAGACAGTTATGGAACACTGAAAATGATGTGAGCATAAACACTGTCCCATGCTTCATGAAGTCTTGCTGAAGCTATATGTGCAGGGATGGTAGAACAGTGCCTTTGTTATAGTCCTTAGGTGCCCAATGCCAGGAGAAAAGTTACTGATAAAAAATCAAGGTCTTAACCATTCAGAAAACATCTCAGAGAAGAAAAGTAAATATGAGTCCAAAATTAAGCCCCATGCCACAGAAATATTTACTTTTTATACATTTTAACCTGAGAGAGCAAGAATGGGAAAGAGTTCATGTAGATGGCATATACTTCAGAGTGGCAGTTCTAGAGGAAAACAATTGAAAATAATTAGTAGAATAAAAATTAGAAAATAGGCTGAAAATGGGAGAGTGGGCATGTCCTGGAAAAGCCATGCTAACTTAGAAGCCACAGGGCGTATTTACAGTGTGCCCCACAGGCATCGGTGTCTGCCACACTCTGTAGGCAGGTGTCCTGCCCCAGCAGCCTGTCCATTCCGAACGGCTCGTCCTGCCTTGTATACCGCAAGCTGCTCAACAGCCTTCCTCTTTTCAAGTAAAATAAAGCAAAACAGTTTTATCAAGACAAGGGTTGATTACCATGTTTAATAACATGGAAATATTTAAAGTATTGGCTATTTGCGTGTGTGTGTGTGTGTGTGTGTGTGTGTGTGTGTGTGTAAGGTTAAAATTATGATAAAAGGAAATGAAGGAACTTAATTTTGAAACACTGAAAAAACTAACTAGAAATACTGTATTCTGGCTGATAGGTAGCTAAAAAAGAACAAAATCTGAAAAAAGGCAGTAAGTACTGAAAAAAGATCTAGAAAAATGGACAGGTATAAGTTATGCTAATATGCAAAGGAGTCAACAAAAAGGAATGAAAAATGTAAGCTGATTATGGAATCCAAACTGTCTTTCTCTGGAAGTAACAGAAAATCTAATTTTATTTCAAAGCAACTTTTTTTAGAAACTGCCAATCTTATGTTGATTCTATGCCAGGCCAGTGTGTTGGCCACATCTGTACTCCTAGCACTTGGGAGGCTGGGGAAGAAGGATTGCTGTGATTTCAAGGCTAGCCTAGTCTACAAAGCGAGTTCAAGGCCAGCCTGAACTGAAATTCATAATGAAGACTTGTCTCAAAAAGAAGAAATGAATTTCTATGCAGAACTCACCTTACAAAGTTTTAAAATCCTTTTAAAATAAGGAAGAAGAGAAACTGTACTGTCACCTAAGCACCAACATCAAACTGAGAAAGAAGTCTGTCATTTGAACCCCAAGTTTGTTGTATTTGTCACTTCTGTTCCCACGGGACAACTGCAAGGATAGGTGCTTCCTAACTGAGGCATTGAGCTTCTTTAAAAACCCAGCCATGTCAGCTGTTCAGCTTTCGCTGTGCGGCAGCTGCTGGAGAGGTCCTGAGCTGACCTTTCCTCGCACTGCAGGGGCTGCAGGGACTGAGGTTATCTTTTAGCTTGCTGAATCCAGAGGAAGATTTCTCATTCCTGCCAAAGTAAGTGCTAGACACAGAGAACAGTCAGCCTGGCCAATCCATTCCTTGCAGACTCCCTGTCACCTCACACCTTCCTGTTGACACTCCTGAAAAGTTTCACATATTCCTTTATGTGAGAAACGATAATAATGGCATAAACAAAATATCTTGGGCAGCAGAGCTGTGACCTGCAGTCTCATCTGTGACCAGAACTTCTGAGGGGAAAAGGCATTCACCAAACCATAAAGCCAATCAGCAAACTGCTCCTCTCTGAGAGCAGGGACAGATACAGAGTAGATGGGAATATTGATATCAGCATCATGGTACAAACTGCCACGTAGCCTCAAAGTTTCCCTCCAAAAATCGATAATTGCTGTGCTTATAGTTCATGCTATGGATCCATTCTATCTACCTCAGTGAATGAAAAGTCAAAATGTTTCAACGTAAAGCTTTAGATCACCAATCATGGGTGTACACATAGATACTTCACGGAACTACCCATCAAAACTAAAATTTGTCAAAGAATTCCACAAATGCTTCTAAGAGCATTTAAACATGGGAGATAGAGTAGATGCTCAGAATAGCACATTAAAACTACTCTATTTTAAAAAATCATATTCTCTGCAAATAAAACAAAAATACTTTTCAGTTCTATGTGAACCAACGAGTATAATTACAAACAATATACTTCTTGAACAACTGCATCTCCCCAAAGGCACATTATATTGATTTTCATTTGAAATGTTAGTTTCAGGTAAAAAATAATTGAGAGGATAAGAAAAAATAAATAGGTTGGGTAGGTAGATAGACAGATAAGCAGCTGACCAGCTAGCCATTTGTGGAGTCCTTCAAACTAGGCTTGTGTAACTATAACTATGAAGCATATTTACATGAGGCACGTTATACATTCAAATCTATAATCTCTCTTATAATCAAAATAAATCTTATAATATTAGCCTTTTACACACTCAATACCAGAAAACATTCAGTGCACATTTCAAGTGATCTTGGTCAAGCGTCACTTTATTTGCTATATCCACCTGGATGCCCTTGTGTCCCTGGCTGGAGCTGCGCCACAGCACTGCCCCACACTCAACCCAGCCTCGGGCTGAAACATGGCTTTACTGAGGCTTCCACAGTCACATCCTTTCCCAGCACGAAAACTGCTGTGTTTTTTCCACTGTATAATTCTGGATGGTTAAACTGATTTTCAAACGTTTCCAAAGACTTTTACAAGAGAGGCTGTGATAGAAAACATCAACAAAGAGCATCTGACTTGGCCCTTCAGTTTGGGCATCCACAATGGCGATGCATAGAGATGAGATGGTTTTTGTCCATGGAAATGACTGGAAGAAGTAAAATCTAGAGGCTGTTTCTGAACTCTCATTATTGATTCTACTCCTCTCACAAAAGAGAAGCAATCGGAAGACAACCTCAGGGCAGACCAGTGACCAGCACCAGCAATCTCTGATTCGTTAGACAGAGTTCCTTTCTTTTGAAATAACAGAGCTGCATATGATGGTATCAAACTTTGGTTTTTAAAGAAGGGGCTTTAAACCTAAATTCTCATTTTTCTAAGGATTACAAATTATAGGGCTCAAAACATCATATTCTTGCCCCTGCCAGCTCTTTGTGTGACTTCACCACTGCTGCACTGTAATGGCTTAAATTTTATTTCACCTTTATGCCCTGCTGAGGTTTCTAAGCTCCAACAATTTCACTGTCCATCACCTTGCTTAAAGTCAGTACAGAATGACTTGCTGGACCTCAGTCCCAGTGGGGATAAATAGCCTTAAGAAACAGCATAAAGTTGTTTCTGTTGCAATGTCATTCCTTTCTTAGATAAGACTGGTTGTAATGCTTTGTTAAGGACCCAGTACTTCAGGCTAGAAAGAACTAGAGTACCGGCAAGATGGGAGCTCCTGGGTCACACGTGTGTTTGGTGTATCTGCCTGATCTACGCATGCTGCACTGGGCTCATCAGCCTCCGGGTGAGACTAGCAAATGTGCTCTGGTACCGAACGAGATAGCACTGAGGCAGACACTACGTGCCCCCAAGAGAATGAGCAAGCTAGCTAATCCCTAGGGAGCAGCCAGGTGGTCACAGTGTCCCAAGGCAGCTGCGCTCCTGGCCTTCCGCTTCGGCAAGCTACAGTGGCTGGAGTCTTACCAGGCATTTTGTTCTCTCACTTAGTCCCTCCTCAAAACTGCCTCCTGCTACATACAGTTTAGGGGACACCACCTTTAGACAGATACCAGCTAGGCGAGACACACTACAGCACTGACCACTATTTACAGCATCTGCTTGTACACGCTGAAGACCACAGGACAGAAGACAAAGACATGACCATGACTGTTTTTAGGCATTTGGCAAAATACACTTGTGTGTAACAGCTGCTTTTTTGAATTTTAAAAATGTTTACATATGTACAATTGTCCTTGTATGCTGATATAAATATGAAAAGTAAAAACAAAACAAAAATACATGTTTAAAGTTAGCATGTGGGATATTGGCCTCTTGAGGCTTTAAGGTTCTGCAGAAAAATCCTATATGCTTTAGCCCTGCATGCTAGTTTTTAGTATGGGATGTTGTTTCCTTAATTATGAAAAACAATGAATAGAAGCTTCATGCATATAGCATTACTGTTTGCAATGAGGATGTGCTTCAGAAGGCCAGGTTCTGAGTTCACTACTGTCCCTTAGGAAACTTGCTACATTTGGGTCAGGTGAGTTAATTTATTGATATTTCTATTTATATATATATCTATCTGTCAGGTGAATTATCCATTAACCTACCAGTACCAGTTCCGTGTTACAGCATAACATTGCAGTAGTTTGTTTCATGGTTCAATTAAATCCTAAGCCAATGACAAAAAGAAAATGATATCCAGATGTGAAAACTGGCTTCTTCCTCTCTGTGGCATCTCCCAGGGTCTTCGCACTGTCTGAAGAGTGGAAAGATTCATGGTGATTCCATGAGGCTGGGTTTCTATAAAAGTTGAAGTAAACAGTTTCGATGTGTCACATGTAAACAGTGGATCTTAAATGGATGTCTCCCATAGCTGCATAAAGAGAAAAGCAGAATTGCACATTGTGAAAACAGAAAAGCAGACAAGAATGCTGAACTATAAGAGGTAGACATTCACCAATTTCACCCATCCACGCTCGATCCTTGATACATACTCTTACAGTCTACTGTTTAGCTCTTTTGTCTAAACCTGCAACTCAACCTTTATAACAACTTCCACCATTTTATATATAAAAAAACCTTCACAACCTCTTTTAATGTTCTTCAACATTTTGAAAGAGGTATTCACATAAAACAAGAAAAATTTAAATGTTAATTTGGAGTCTGGTGTGGTGGCACGTCGGTAACACCTACTACTCAGGAGGTGGAGATGAGAACATAACAAGCATGATGCCTGCTGTCTCAAAGTGAAATAAAAATATTTCTTAGGTGAAAAAATACAAACAGAAAATAAATGCATGAAAAAAATTCTCAACATCATTGGTCATTCAAGAGATGCAAATTAAAACAACACTGAGATTCCACAGCACTCCAGAAAGAATGGCTATCAGCAAGAACTCAACCAATAATAAATGCTTGAAGGGCTGTGGGGAAAAAGGAACCCTTCTCCACTGTTGGTGGGAGCATAGACTGGTGCGGTTCCCCCACTGTGGAAATAAGAGTGGAGAGTCCTTTAAAAACTAGGGGTCTGGAGACATAGTTCAGCAGCATAAGCACCTGCTTGGCAAGTGAAAGGTCCCGGTACCATTAAAAAAAGGAAAAAAAATTAGAATTTGAAGTCCCATTTGACCCAGCTATTACCTTTCTGAGTATTTTTCCAGAAAAATTAAAAACATCATACCACAGCAATATATGTGCACCCATTTACAGCAGCACAATCTGTAATAGCTAAACTTTGGAAATGACCCAAATGACCATTAACCCAGAAATGGATAAAAAAGATGCGTGTTTTTTTTTAATATAATGGAATACTACTCAGTAATAAAGAAAGATAAACTTGAGATTTTTATAGGTAAATGGATACAACTGGAGACCATACTCCTAAGTGAAATAAGTCAGACCCACATGTATAAGTATCATATTGTCTCACTATTCTGAGAATCTGAAAGAGTAAACAAGATCAAAAAAGCACAATAGGTATTGTGAGCAGGGAAAAGACTGATCTAAGGAAAAGAAAACCTGTGATGGGACAAAGGGGAAAAGAAGGAAGCAGAAAAGAAAAAGTAGATACATACACAAGACAGTTAAGATAGTCATTATTGGGGCCCGGGAGATGGCTCAGTAGAATAAGTGCCTCCCTGGCAAGCGCAAAGGTCTGAGTTCAATCCCCAGTTCCGCCAAAAACCCCCCCAAAAAAACCAAAACAAAACAAAACAAAAAGATAGTCATTATCTTAACTGTCTCACTTGGTTCACTGAGAAGAGAGTGTGCTAGTATTTTTCTGGACAATGTTTCATGCCTGTATCTTGTACTTTGAGCATCTATTATGAATATAACAATACACAAAGTGCGGATTATTGTTACTCTCCTACTAGCTTGTTTTGAAACTCTGTTTTGTTATTTCTTGCTTGCTTCTGTTTAAAATTAAAAAAAAATACTTCTTAAGCTACACATGCCCTTCCTTCCCCCTGAATTCTCATACGGCTAGTGCAGTGGCTCTCCCCTGCGGCTGCATACTACACTGATGGATGCTCTCTATCTCAGGCTGCTTTGCTGTGTGTTTATCATTAAAAAGACACCCAGCTCCTGTCCTTGAAAGCCCAAGAGACCTCTCAGCCAGGAGGATGTCTGAGCTATTGATGCCTACTGGTAGAGAGAAGTTAAGTAGGGGTTTCAGGGTGCCCAAGGGGAAAAAAAGATTTGGTCTGATGCTCAAGTAATGGTCAGAATGCTGAAGAAACAAGAATGACTCCAGAGCTGGAGTTTCTATGCATTTGGCTATGAGTATGTAATAATAAGTGACAGCTGGCAAAAAAGAGGAGTAAATGAATGACACTGAGGAGATCTGAGGATTCTCGTGAAGAGACAGAAGCAGCAAGGCTACTGATTAGCAAAGAGGCAGCCTAGAGTCCAGCGCCACTTACTCTGTAGGACGTGGCCACACGCTCCTGTGCTGCTCCACATGGCCGGGACAGACCCAACCTTCCCACTCCTGAGAGCAGCGGGAGCATGGGCCAGCTGCTTCTTCTGGGGAGCTGTCACGTTCATGTCTCTCCACTGATATCAGCAGCCTACATCCTTCACAACAGTGGAGGACATGTCCCCAACTTGATGGAGCAAAACAGTGATCTAGACAATTTAGCAGAAAAAAGTGGGATCCTCGCCTTAGCCAGTTCTCTGAGGAGGAGAACAACGGCAGCAAACTCAAACTTCGTCATCACACATCGCACCCTGCAAAGGAGATGTCCATCCATCTGCCCCTGGGAATCTGAGTTATCTTGTTTTCTACCATTTACCATTTCTCATATTAACACACAAAGGTAAATTTAACAAAACACTAATCCTTTTAAAAAGATTGTTTAAATTATAATAACCTAATCAACCTTTAATGATGTCTGAATGATCTAACTATCTTTTTTTTTTTTTTTTTTGAGGTGCCACGATTTGAACTCAGGACCCTGCGCTTGCCAGGCAAGCTCTTATTCTACTGCGCTATCTCCCCAGCCCCATCTAACCATCTTTTAATGATTTTTTTTTTCCTCTTGGGGGTGGGGTTTGAGACAAGGTTTCATTAAGTAGTTCAGACTGGTTTTGAACTCACTAGGTTCACAAGGCTGGCCTTGAACTCACAAGATCCTGCCACAGCTTCTTGAGTGCTGTGACTGCAGGTGTGTGCCACTTCACCTGGCACCAATTCCTCTTCAGGTGGAGGTAATGATGTGTTTTCTTACTGACTCTTGCTTGGCTGGCTGAGATAAAATCTGAGTGATCCACAGTTACCTTGATCTCATTATTTACGTTCACAATCACAGAGGCTCTCAGGCATTAAACAAGATCAAAAAGTTCATGAACCTATGACCTACTAGCAGATAAATCTATCAAGTGTTTTAAATTTTTAATATTTTATAAAAAAAAATAAAACATCTAGGGCCAGCCAAACAGGTCAGTGGATTAAAGCGCCTGCAGGGCCCAGGGGTTCCATCCCAGGTCTGCTGTGCCGGCCCTGCCCCCCGGAGTGCACTGAGAGGGCAACTGAGACTGGACATGGTGGCGCGCCTGTAATCCCAGCTCTTGGGAAGCTGTAAACAGGCGGATCATTATGAGTCTCATCTAGTAGTGAGACCCTGAACACCCTGTATACCCTTCCCTAAAATACAAAAAAAAAAAAAAAAATCTAACAAATAACAATGATTAATACAGTGTATATCATTATCTTCAAAATAGTTACTCAGAGTACAGACAAAAAAAGATTCTCTTTTACAAAGAAAAAGCAAACATACTAGCAAAAAACTTTCTTTTTACCGAATAGAAACTAGTAGTATAAAACTGTCTCATTGCTATTTATTTCTCAATAAATTATTTAAAAGACTAGTATAAGTGAAACAAATTAGCATATAATTAAAATATTTTTGAAACAACATAATAGGTAATTGGGGAATTATTTGAACTACATATATTCGAGTTTCTCACATGAGAGAAATCATGTGAAGTTTAAGCTTGTGTGTCTGACTTATTTCACTTTATATTACATTCTCAAGTTGCAACTATTTTCTTATAAACGGCTCACATGTGTCTTTAGAGCAGAGGAATATCCTACTGTGTCTAAATACACTATTTTCCTTATCCACTCATGTGTTGATGGACACAGAGGCTGTGGCTATTATAAACTGTGCTGCTATAAACATTGATGTGTATGTGTCCCTGTAATTTGGTGATTTTAACTCTTTTGGGAAGATACCCAGATGAAGGTTAACTGGGTCAAATGGAATTTCAATTTGCTTTTGTTTTGTTTACCTAGGAATCTCCAAACAGATTCCACAGTGGTTGTACTGGTTTACATTTCCACCAACAGTGCAGAAGGGTTCCTTTTTCCCCATACCCTCACCAGGTTTTATTATTAGATTTTTTTTTTATGATAGCCATTCTTTATGGGGTAAGATGATATCTCAAAGTTTCAATTTGCATTTCTCTAATAGCCAGCAATACTGAACATTTTTTGATGTTATTTATTCTGTCAAGATCTTAAAAGTCTTTTTTGCCTTCAACATTATTTCAAAGAAGATCCACATAGTATAATTGGCCACAACAAAGTCTAGGGATCCCAAGTAATTCCATCTTTCACTTAAACCTCTGAGTTTGCCTCTCTAAACTCCATTAGGCTTCAAGTTTCCCATGAAGGATGTGCTCCAGGAATCCTGTGAGACAGTGGTATCATGATTAAAACTTAAAAGGAAACAATATTCTTTCTTCATCTTTATAGTACTGAGGATTAAAACCACGGCCTTCACACTAAACTACATCTCTAGTCCTTTCTTTAAATCTAACTAGGTTGCTTAGGTGGGGTCAAAGTTGCCTCTCAGAGTGCTGAGATTATAGGCATGACCACGCTATAGTCAGGCTTTGCAAGGGAAACAATTTAATATGGGACACAAATTTATAGGATTGTTTCATAACAGTTACCATAAGAAGTCAAGTACTAAGGAATACAAGAAACCAGTCTACATGCTAAAGATCTAAAGAATATAGCTAGGCGCCTGTCCCATGGCAATATCCTGAATAAGTCCAGCTGAAGACCTACAGCCTCTAACAATGCTCTCCGCCACCCCTAGTCCTGCTGGAGGCCAAGAGCCCATGACAATGACTCATGCAAGTCCATTTCATGGATCTGTGCTGGGAAGACCCAAAGGTCAGTGGTGAAAGCTCAAAAGTCTACATCAGCAGGATGAAGGATCTGTGGCAGCAAGTTGAGGGATCTCTGCTAGCGCCAGGAAATGACGTTCAAAGTAAGGACCATAGTCATCCTCAGTAACAGTGAGGTTCTCAGCTCCTCCTATCATGAGAACAGACAAGTTCATATCAAGAAAACCAGAGTGGCAAGCTCTTCCAAGAGAACCAAGAGCACCACCCCTTCCTCTTCTTGTCACGCTACCGGCAGCGATGCTCAGGTGGGCCCTCCACACCCAGCACCATGCTGATTCAGATCAGCTGGGAGTTACACTCTTTTTTGAGATAGGGTTTCACTGTGTAGTTCAGGTAGGCCTTGAGCTCACTTTGTAGCCCAGGCTGGCCTGGAACTCAAAACAATCCTCCAGCCTCAGCCTCCTGAGTATTGGGATCAAAGGCATGTACCACCATGCCCAGCTCAGCTGGGTGTTACAAGTTGATCACCAGTTGTTAGTCTACCACAATCCAACCCTAGTCAATCTGATAACCACACACATTTCCTTAAACCAGAGACTCAGTGGATTTGTGAAAAGTTAACATGTCTTGGACTATTCAGATCTACAATGATATAACATTATATATATATATATATATATATATATATATATATATATAATTGCATTCATTTCTGCTTCCAAAACAAAATATTCAGAGGGTAATCAAAATTCAAGTTAAAACATAATACTTTGATTAATTAATCTGCTTTCAAACATATCTGAAAACTACATTAAAATAATACTAAAAGAGTTATTACAATCACAAACCTTACATCCCATTCACTTTTAACAAGAGGGCATGGCAAGACTAAAAAGCAGGGATCTCCTACAATTTGAATACACTCTTGCCTTCAGGTGAAAGGGTGCAGTTTATTTTTCCGTTGTTCCTCTCTTTTCAACAACCATAGTCTCCTGTATTTCATCCTTGCAACCCACTGCTCCCCTGGAGCCTTCTCTCTGGCCAAATTCTTCAAATCACCTTAATGGCTCTACACTCTTCATTTGAAACACAGATCTGTCTGAAAGCTCTCAATAATAACCATGCCACCATCTTGACAATAGACTACACTGAAATTTTTCTCCCTCCCCCCACCCCTGCAATATCTCTAAACACAAGCAAAGTACAAATGAACTTCTTGCTGAAGCACAAGCTACTATCCGGGACCCAGCAGCCCACGCAGTCCTCCTCAGTAGAAACCTTCTGAGCTTCATCTTATCCAGCAGCATTTCCATCAGTACGCTAATACTGATTTCCTAGGCTCCAACCCTAATCTCCCATATAGTTTATAGTATATAGGGGCTGCCTCAAGGCCAGTCTCTCAAAACCTTTCCAAATTAATTCCCAAGGCTTTTAAGCCAGGCAACATCACAGCAATGACCCCACTCTCTTGGTACCAGTCTTGTAATCAGGATCGCAGCAGTTGACTGATTGAGTCAACTTGAGAAGTTTAGAAGCTTTACTAAATTGGCTCAGCAATTCTATACTCAAGGGTGTAGAGCACACACCATAGGGCAGCTCATTGCCCGATGGTATAAAAAGGAAATGGGTAGATGAAGGGGGCTTCCATACTTTGGAGGAGACCTAGTCTTTTCTGGAGATCCAGTTTTTGCCTTCAACTTGGACATTGTCTCCTGGCTTCTAACAGAATTTTTGGCTCCACTTTGGATCCTTCAGCCTTTCAGCATAGACTGATCAGCTCTCTGTCACAAGTCCATGGGCCTCCTTGTACAAACTTGCACAGAACACTTCAGTGAACTCCCGACCTTACGCTGGACCCTTCAGCCTCCAGCATTCAGACACCCTCTGCACGCATCCAACTCGATAGCTGACCACTGTACGCCAATCTTGTAATTTTTGGTACATTTGTAGATCTTGTGTTATATCTGTTTCTCTAGTAAAACCTTGATTGATACAGCTACCATCCCCAGCTGGAGACTTAATATTTAAATAAACTTCTATTGAATCATAATTTCATAGAAAGGGTCAGTACCTCCTTTTTGTTTTTTAAATTGGGCTTTCTGATGCTGGGCTGTAGCTCTGTTCAAAGCACTGAAAAAAAAGTGATTTCAACCACCATCTCCAAAACTTTTTCTTTTTTTGTGCTACTGGGGATTGAACTCAGGGCTTTGTATATGTTAGGCAAGTGCTGTACCACTAACATACAACCCCAGCCCTGATCTGAATTCTGGTCACAGATTCCTATTTCTAAAATCCTATTGACATGTTATTAGCAGGTAAAAAGCCTGTTCAAGTAAATTCAACATGGCAATGAGGCTAATTTACTTAGTCTCTGGCATTTCCAGGGGTATTAAAAAAACTGACAAAGCAAAATACATGGATGCTTTTGTCAATTCCAGGTTTTAACATATTAATTACAATGAATAAATAATAAAAGATGCAAGTACTGTACACAGTAACAAATAAATAATATGCACCAAGTATCACTAGATAGGCCAATGCAAATTAAACTAGTTTGCAATTATAAATCTGTTCCCCAAAGCCCCAAGAATCTACTAATTGTCAATTTTAATTTTTCTGATTTTCTAAGAACAAGTTTTAGGAAACATGGCTACTCACAGAAAAAGTGGGAATGACTAAAATACAAGGAAACTTTCACCACCTACCCTGGCACTTTGTCGGTTCACTTTCTTCTCTTCATCAGGAAGTGGGGGCATCGGGTAAGGGTATTTTCTGCTGGAGGCAATAGACCCAGTTGACGAAGAAGGAGACTTGGCAGGAGACAGAGTCCTGAGACGTCGAGAATATATGACATAAATATCACAAGGTTGCCAAATATCCTTTGCAAGTATCTGAAAAGCGGGTTCACAACAAACCCTCTGACTTCTATGTTCATAAGCTCCTACTGCAAAGCATTAACTACTAGGAAAATAACTCTGTCATTCCCAAAACTGTATTGCTAAAATTTTAGCTTCCTAAACCCACGAATGCAACAGATTTGCTTAAATGTTACTATATAGAATCATACTTTTCAACTAGAAAGTCAACAATGAAGTTTCCTCTAGAACAGATAAATAGCTAACAGAACAAAAATAAAATTACTTAAGAGCTCATCCCGGTAAATTAAGTACACAGCATATTAATATTCTGTCTTGTTTTTACCACTTAATATAAAAAGTGTTTCTAAGTACAATACTTCTAATTAAGATCTTAAAATACATTACCACCGCTCTATTCACTAGTTGCTAAATCACATACTAGTTTACACAAAGCTCATGCATTCAGAGGCCAGTGTGTTAGTGGTGAGAGAACAAAGGCAGATACAAAGATTATAATAATAAATTAGTACACATGCAAGCAGTAAGGAGTGCAGTTTCAGCCAAACAAAGTCTGATGAGAACATACAAAAATGGCCTGATAACATCTCTACATTCAGCATTGCTTGGAAGCAGTGGTGTGTTATGTTGAACTTGCCTGCTGCTTGTATCTGTAATGGTAATGTATGCAATTAGAGTAGGTGCGCTAGAAGAGGCTGTGCCTGCTAACTTGTCTTTAAGACTGGGGAAGACAAAGCTGAGTGAAAACACTCATTCAGAGTGTATCAACAGAAGAGTCACGATGATTTCAACAGCCATCCCCTTCCCAAATGCGGTTCCGCACACTCTTGACTCCTTAATTCCTGGTACAAGGTGGCAAAGGCTCATATCAAGAACTGGTTGCACTGCCACCTTCTAGCACAAGTTTCTACTGCTGTAGGATGCAGTTCTGTGCTATAACTGAGTTACCCTGGGAAGGAGGTGGGGAGGGGAGGAGGCATCGGGTAGGGGAAGATCTACTGCCTGTCCTGCTCTTGGTTCCCGTCTAGGTAATATCCTTGGCTCTGCTTTGGCCATCGTTTTCAATCTTATTTCCACTGTACAGACACTGAATTCAAGCTCATGTGTGAAAATCACTTTTCCAACCAACTCTGACATCCAGGTTCTTCATCAATTTTAAGAATCAAGGGTAGTTATACAAGAATATGAAGTACTCGAAATGCTCTAAAATTCCATCAAAACAACATACACTGAATATTTTTCTATTTCAGAATGAATCTACTTTAGTGACACATTTTAAAATAACTAAGATCGTCTAGAATGAGGGCAAGTTTATACATTTTAGTACTTCATGAATCCTTCTAAAATGAAGGTTATTACCATGAATTCAGCTTTTTAGCCTAAATGTCACTGGTAAGAAATCCAAGCTGAGGGAAGCTAATTAGACACGCAAACACATAACCAAGTACTGCGTACTTCAGGAACTATGCACACCAACTCCTCTATTTTTTTTTTTTTTCTGTTTTGTGTTTACATTTGATCTTAGCCAAAAGGCCGAGACACAAAGTTTTGCATTTTTTAGATAGCTTTACTATACAGTTTAGATTGGCCTTGAACTCACTTTGTAGTCCAGGCTAGCCTCAAACTCACAATAATCCTCCTGCCTCAAACTCCAGAGTGCTGGGAGTATAGGTGTGTGCCACCACACCTGGCCAATCCTCTTTTTAATTTGCTGCAGTAAGTGTACTCCTGGCAGGAGATTCTAGCTCGCAGCTTCCTAGTCACACCAGTCTCAAGTGGCCACCGCCCAGTCAGTACATTTACAAAGCCATTCCAGTGAGAAGCTCTGGAAGCCCAGTCTTCCCTTGCAGATCCTTCTTTAAGCAAAGCGAATAATGAAGGAAAATAAGAACAGGAGGTATTATTCTCTAGAACCCCAGGGAATCTGCACTATACTGCTTCTTCCATCAACATTCACTTCAACTGACACTTCTGGCACTAAGAGGAAGAAAGTGGGGAAAGGGAGCAGGTCTTGGTGGGGGGATGGACAAGGCTACCGCAGGAGTGAAAATAAAGGCAGCAAACAGGACAGGGCAGACTAGTTTAAAGAAAATAAATGCACTATTTCCCATCAAAGTCTGAGGAGGACAATTCCAGCACAGCTTTTGCTAAAGTGGGGCAGCAGCCCAGCCCAAGCACTGACAAAGTAAAGTGAACCTTTGCATGAATATAGCCGCTACCATTACTCAATTTATAAAAAAATCATCCTAACTGTAGTAGCTGTAATTAAAACTACACAATGAAGGTATGCGTTTGTGCCAATGGGTTGTGGTGCATCTTGAGATATTTCAGATTTTCTGGATTTCTATTTTGTAGCTAGGCCTGCAAGCTGACCAGTCATATGAAGGAGACACAGTCACTCTTCATTCCCTTTTCTAACAGCCAAAGCCAGGACTTTGTGCCTCATGTGGGGCTTAAGTGTGAATCTTCACCCTTTTACTTCTCAGAAAGTAAAGAGAAACTCATAGAGGTCCGACAGAGCCACCTGCCATTCTGGCTCTAATATACTCTAACTCTACTCTAAGACCAGGAACTCTTTTGTGCCACAGTTTTGCCCAAGAACAACCAGGGAATAATGATGCCTACATCTCATGATGTGAGACATAAAGATTACAGTAGTTACTTGATATGTGACAGTTACAATTATTAACCTATTTTCAAAGTCACGGCATGAAAGTAGAAATGTAAGACAATGGAAAATTTAAAAAACATCAATGAAGTGAGTGATCTGCTAGGTAACACTCAAGGGTAATGACACCTTCCAAGCCCATATGAATCAGTGTCACCAACAGAACTTTTTCCAGGCTCTAGGAGTGGTGACAGCGTGCTTTCACCCTAATCTCACCTGCTCCTTCCTGGTAGCCCCAATACATGCTGAGGACAATCTGACCACTGTCACATGAGGGCCCAGTGGAGGGTATCTTGCCACTCAGAGACCAGAGGTATTTGTCTCACTCTTCATGGTGATACAGATACTATATTGTGCCACACGATATTTGGGACTTTACTGCAGTCACAAAAGTCCCCATCACATTCAGATAAAATGGCACAAAGCCAGTACCACGTGGGTGATGAAGATGACCTTTGCCTTCACTGATAGTTTTACTGGTGGTGGTGGTGGTGGTGGTGAGTCCCTTGAATGACCTAGTGGCAGATGAAGCTGATCTGAGCTTAACCAGATGGTTGGCAGAGCAAAAACCCATGTGTGGATGTACTCAGGCCTGCTTGGTGAGATAGGGCTTGAGTGGAGAGTGAATGAAATTCTGTCATTTTAGAATCATGGCATCAAAAGCTCTGGGTTGCCTCAATTATTTATCACTGCCACAGAAATTCGGAGTCAATTTTTAAGTCTTACCAGCATAACCCTTATCATTCCCCCAAAGGACACTTAAATTATGAACTGTCCAATGGACGTTAGCCTCTAAGCAAAAATATGAATTTTAAATAATTCTTAATGGGAGTATCTACTATAGGAACCAACATCTCACATTAAAAGAGGAGATACAGGAATCCTCTACCATTGCCCATGCAGCTTTGCACGTGCAACCAGGGGCACTAAAGCATTTCCCCATCCAAACTGCTTTTAGTCATGCAGCTTCTGGGCAGACCCGGGGGCTGCTTTTAAGAAATGTGAACTCTTCTCTGGGAGCCACAGGAACTACTCAGCTCACCCAGGGGAGGTGAATGGATTCTTCCAGGGTACCATCTTACAGATTATTGCTGCAAATACATTAAAGTCCATGTAGGAACAAAGCCACAACCTACACAGGACTCAAGGTGTTCTGTTTTGGTTCCATGGCTAGTACAAATTACAATCTGCCCACAAGCCTCAGTACAATGCAGGTGAGCCACAATTCCAAGTAGCATTGCAGATCATCTTACCTGTCTTCCTGATGCTGGCCATCTTGGGAGCTACAGGTGAGGGTGGGATGTTTGACTGTGAGTGTATGTGCATGAGGTTCAGTGTAGGGAAGTGTGGGAAGCAGAGGACAGGGCGGGAGTGAAAGGCTGGGCATCAAAGCAGGGCGTGGTTTTGTAAGCAAGCAGGAGTTACGCTTTCCTTGGGGTATATGCAAATGCAATGGATCAAATTAAAATGCAGTTAATTCTAATCATTTTCTCAAACTGTATATGACTAAACTAAATGGCACACTGGAGGAGAGAGCCACCGTGTATGGGTGCTGAGATTTAACACGCACACGCACACACACACACACACACACACACACACACACAGTTTGGTATCTGTTCAATGCTGACCCGTCATAGCGGGAAAAGTTCATTGTTAAATGATGTTCAACATTAGTTGTCCACAAAGTACTCAGATATAAAGTCTAGGAAACCTCTCTGATATTATAAAGGGTGATAAAAAAAATGCTATTAAGAAATTCTCTCTGACCTGTAATGTTACACAAAGCTGTATTAAGTTGAGTAAATTTGATAGTTTACACAGCATAGGGATGTTTTTCTCTGTGTCAAAAACATGTTCTTTCTCTGCTTTTCTATTTGAGGTGTTGCACATTTCTTATGAGTATTAAAACTGTTTTGTTGGAAAGCCATGATGTGCTCTTCTTAGCATAGCTCTTCTCAGGTAGCAAATGTTCTACTGAACAAGGAAAGTCTACACTCAAGGATTTTTCCAGTTAGGGTAAACCCTTATTGTTACTCAAGGTAAAATTTTGCTTTTTTTCATGTTTTTTTCCTTTGAGTTTTCATATATACTATGCATTCTTCAGCAATAATTAGGAAAAAATGCATTATGAAACTGCTAGATCTAGAAATTAAACTGTTGAGGTTAATAGCGCTTCTTTATTAGTGAAGGTATGGTTCATGCCCATAGAACGTTACATAGCATCAAATGAAGAGGAAGCTACTGAAAAGCTTAAGATGGCAACAGGGACATGCACTAAACGGAAACCCTTTCAAATGGCAGCAAAGAAACAGGACCTTTTCCGTCTATAAGAACTTGTATGAGGAGATACAAGAGAGAGAGCCAGTCACAGTACAATATTCGTATGTGCTGGAAGAGTTTGAAAAGGATATAAAATTAATTTATAAAATACCTAAAGTATGGTCCTTCAGTGTTTTTATTCACATCTTCTACCCACTTAGCTACATTATAGTCTCTTTTGAACCATGGATTTAAATACCTGCAGAAAGCAATGGAAGGAACAAAGAAAGCAGAACAAGATAGAAAATCTGAAAATACACAGCACAAGCTTAGCAAGGATGTCTTCACCCTCCATATGCAAAGTGACTATGGCAAATAAACCAGGATGGGCACTGGGTGATTATGAGGCAGCTTATATATAAATACATACATACTTATATATATATATATACAATGACCTCAGAATAATCTCAGCTATAGCAAGGCTCATGGCATCCTAGAATATATTCAACAGCTCTGGGGAGCCCTTTGCCAGTGGCTTCCAAAGCAAATCTGAACTTCCTCTCAATTGCAGTAAGGTCAGCACTCCCACCTCCAAAGTGCTTTTTTTCCAGGCAATGGCTGATTTGGCACTTTGTTTTTTAAATGGTAATCATATTTTTTGAAAATATTGAGGAGGCTGCAATTCCAGTCTGTCATATGGGCATATAAAATCCCAAGAGGTTATTCAAATTCAAAGAGCAAATTTTCTTTTACTTGACCACCGCCTCCCTGATTCCTTACAACTGAACCCAAGCTGGGCTCTAAGTCCTCTCGCGTCAGCAGGGGAAGGTGCAGAGGAGGTCCACTCTGGACAGTGGGGCCCAAAGCACAGCAAGTGTGGTCCACAGAGGGCTCCACAAGCGTGCGGCTGGGATGAGTGCCGGCAGCAACAGCAATGCTCCTTTGAGCCTCCAGACCGAAGTGCTCCTGGAGCTGCTGGGAAGAGGCCCTCAGGAGTCATTGAGTGAAGGACTGCCAGAGTGACAGGGAACTCAGTTAGCATTTCCCTGGTGCATCCTGCTACATCTCCATCAGCATTCCGGTGCAGATTTTAAAGGCAGTAAAGTTGGAGGTGTGGTTGTCAATTTCCAGAGTTTCTTTTGATCTATACCCTGAGAACCATTTGGCCTTGTAGAAGAATACAGATTTAATAAATTCAATACTGGAAGAATTTGGAGGTTTTACTGGACTTTTTCATTTTAAAGACAGTAACTTCTAGGAACAGTATAGGCAATGAAGATCCAAGCTCTATAAAATTTAAGTTATTATAAAATACAGTATTTGTTCTCAGTTCAAGTTCACTTTTTTCCTCTATAGTAGTCTTGAGCTGTTTGCAAATAGATTTAAAGCCAAAACTACATTTCCTTAGCAATAGTTTTTAAAAGCAGGCTATTTTTTTCATAGCCTATTCCTTCACTGCTAGCCATTACCAAGGAATTCTACAAAATAACATTACAATTCTTTCTAAAAAGGGTTTTATTTCTCTTTATACTTTTCAAATACTTTCAATAGAGACAGGGTCTCACTGTACATTCCAGGCTTCCAGGCAGGCTTTAAACTCACTATATGGCCTGGGCTGGCCTCAAACTCATAGCAATCTTCCTGCGTCAGCTTCCTCAGTGCTGGGATTACAGGTGCGTACCACAACGCCTGGCCTTTTTATACTTAAAGCCCATTTTTGGTAAGGTAACCGATTTAGGAACAAGTCACAATCACTGTCTTTCGCCACAATCACTGCCAACTTGTACTTTTCACCGAGAAAGCTGAAGACTACATAAAGATTTCCACTGAGATTGAGCAAAAAGAAAAGTCAAGAAGCAAGTGCAGCCACTGAGGAAGGCTAGTGAGTGCTTGGGCCTGGGAAAACTGTAGAAGAAGCTTATGCAGCTGCCATCAGGTGAAACAGACACACAGCAGGTGGAGTCACCTGCAGGGAGAGGGCCACTTCTTGGAGATGTTTATTTCTTTCACTAAGTATTTCGGGAAATCAAAGATCTAGTGCCATGGTTGCTCCATGAAAGCTACAGCCATCTAGCTAGATTTGTTCTTGTGTTCCAGGGAGCAACTCAGAAGCCTAGGGTCCATTCACGGAGCACTGAGGAGACTCTGAATTGTTGCCCCACCTGGGAGTCTGACCGGAAAGGGTCTTCAGGGTGGACTTCCTGACATCTATCTCTACACCACAGTGGCCAGAATGGTGGGATCCTATCAAATGTGAATCATCCTGTGTGGCTTGACTTGGCTGGTAGCGCAACATGCAAAAAATGCATCAGACGGGATGGGAGAGCTTTCATGTCCTCCAGGATGGAAAGGCAGAGGAAAATCAGCTGGTGCTGGCTGGCCCAGGAGCACCTCTGAGCAGTCATGGAGGCTCAGTCAAAGATCAAATGACCCTGTTCTCAGCCAAGGAAGGGACTTGGAGGGAGCTTAAGTGGCAGCCCAGAATGAAGGGGCAGGTGGAGACTGACCTGTGATCCAGACTCCCTGTCTGGGGGCTGTCAGAGCCCCCTGGGCTTATGCCTTGGGATGGGACTGTCTGGGCGAGGGAGTGCCCAGGCTCGGGTGCTTGGGGCTCCCTCCTGTAAAAACACAATATATAATACAAAGTCTAAGCCAAAAAACTCTTTCACATCATGTACAACAGTGAGGAAGATGCATAAGCTTTGGGTGGGAAAACAGTACAACAAACAAGGACATTTTGTTTTGTTAATTTGCAAAGCATGCATTTGTGGTGCATGTTGTCATTCATGTCCCAATTTTTATCACCCTTGGGGATGATCAGGTATTAAAGGCAATGTTGAAATAATGGACCTGAAATACCTCCTATTGTTAAAAAAAAATCAAAGGTACCTTTTCCTGGGGTCATTTTGCTCCTTTTATAGTCACACAAATGGTGTCATTACATCAGAAGCAAAAGAGATTGCTTAAAAATGTGCCAACATAGTTCTTGACATATTAGATAGCAGGAATTATTCTATTATTGCAGTGCTACATATCCAACTCAGGGCTCACGCATGTTAGCCAAGTGCTCTACCACTGAGCTACATCCCCAGCCCAAGAATCCTTATTTTTAAAATGTATAAAAATGCATATATAGAGAGAAATTGTCCCAGTGGGTATATGAGAATAGTGCTCCACTTACTTACATAAGCCATGTACCTAGAACCAAAATCCTAAAACATCTGAAGGAATTCTTAATTCATCTGCCTTCTAAGATGACTCTTTTAGAATGTCTTATTAAATATTATGTCTTATTAAATATTGTACCATAACTATCTCAAAGCTAGATTTATCAAAGTCTACTACAGTTGTATAATTTTTCGCACACAATGTGAGTGGAAATTATTTGCAAAATTTTCAAAGATAGGTGAATGTCCTAGAAAATATTGCATGAAGATTGTTAAACATCAAAAGTTCTTTGGAGCTTAAACTAATTAACTTTAACATACTGCCGGAGTTCTTTTTTCCACTTAGGAGCTGGCAAGGTCTTGCTATAGGAAACACTGTTAGAATATTCAATAGTACACGAAGGAAGTTCTATAGAAGAGTTTGTGGTTTTTAATCTGTTTTTTTCATGTGCAGTTGAGATAAGCTAAGGAGCTCTTACCAGGTGACCTCATGCAAAACAAACCAAATAACATTCCACAAAAGAGTTTATCAACAATGACCCCGAAAGCATCCAAGTGCTTTGGGAATGCATAAGATAAACTCTAGCCGATTAGTTATTTATGATGAAGTTCTATGATGCCATTCTGGACCATGCAATGCTATCACTTGAAACTGTTGATTGTTTCTAAGGCAAAGTATCCTCTAATAAACTTTGATAAGCCACTTACAAGACAATACCATTCAGATGGAAGGTCCAAATTTCAGGGCAATGTTATTATTCCTGGACTGAAAAAGGCAGGGTACATGATGGTAAAGCTAACACAAGTTTCTGACAAGCAGTTAACAAACATCTGCTATTCAGACTTTTTAAGAATTAAGGCATGAAGAAGTAATAGAGATCCTGAAAATGATAAATAGCACTGGAGTAAGTAATAAGTGGAAATATTTGGGTGCCTTAAAAAAGTATGGTTAGTTAAAACCAGGTGGCAAGTTCAGCCTAAAACGATACATAAGATGTGTGTGACTCCATGAATGGGGGATTAAAGATTTAATGGAGTTATTACTTGTGCTTTCATAAGTTAAAGAAATATTTTTAAAAAAGTATAAGGTGTTTACTTCGTTATAAAAGACTTTAAATGTAACTTCCAGCTCATGTCCACTTAAAAAGAAAAAGTGGCTGTCATTTAAAATGAGTAGTGTTTCATTTCACGACAATGACTCGGTTAAAGGGCAAGTTTAAGTCACTGCCCTATTACAGGTCCTCAGAAGGATCCTTTAAAGGGGGAAAGATCCCTAGTCTGAGAGAATGCTTAGATAGAAGCCATGAAGACCTCAGAGCATGGTTTCGGGTTTCGAGCACCATCATGCTCCAATGCACAGGGAGTCTCTCTGATGCTGCCAGTCTGCATGTGTAGTGGGAGGAGGAAGGGTGGCCCCTTGAAATGGCTGAAACCCAGGTGATGAGAAGAAACGGGTGTTATCAAAATTCCCTTTGGAGGGAACCAAGACACCACAATGGCAGGTGACTGGTGGGAAAGCCTGCAGCAAGGGTGGGACCCCCACTGTCAGTGAACATTGGTTTGGACACAGTTGCGGAGATGCCTATGTAAAAGAGAAAAGCCATGGTTAATTTTTAAAGGGCAAAAAGCATTAAAGAAATAAAACCAAGTCCAGAAGCATGGTTTACCAGTTCTTTTGGCTATCTGCTTAATTAACGTTAGACACTAATTGCATGGACCTTGGAGTGCCTTTTTCCATTATAGGTTTAGACTTACTCAGTTGAATTAGATCGAGGTCTAAATCTTTTGCCTCTGATTTTCTTTCTGTTGCCTCCCAGGTTACCTGGAAAAGACGATTTATATAGCCAGATTTCCATATAAATAAGTAATTGCTCTATGTCCAATTACATGGCATTTCACCACCCAAATGAGCCAGGTCTGTCACAGGGAGCTGTATCCTTAGTACCTTTTTTATATGTTATTTTCAGACAGGGTCTTATTTAATTTACTAAGTCTTGCAGGCTGGGGTCCTCCTGCCTGGGACCATCGAGCCTCAACTTCCCAGAGTGCTGAGATCATGAGCATGCATTACTATGCCCAGCTGGACTTATTTCTTTCAAATATAAAACCTACTTTTTTTAACTTCCTCCTACTAAGGGCATTAACAGGTAGCCCCTCGTTTTCTCCGATGCATGGAAGAAGTAACATCCCTGTCTGAAGGTGAGGAGGTTTGGCAGGTTTCCTTCTCCACAAGGGAGCAAAGGAAGAAAAGTACCACAAATGGCAGGGGAGATAAAACCACAGGCGAATTCCCTTGTCTGTTAGCTTATTGGATTTCTCCCCTCCCTTCCTTATGATAAACACCCTTGCACACCTAAGCAAGGGGAGATGGTGATTTGAGGCAATGAGAAGCCCTTGCATGTTCTTCGGGGTTGCTTTGAATACATTCTTTTCTGTTGTTTGTCTTAGCCAAAGAGGACTGTCATCTATGTTCTTGGGAAGCTAGAAAGTGGTACAAATCTGAGTAAGCTAATATACTGATACTACCAAATCCCATCATCCCCCATCAAAGAGAAAAAATAAAACAAAAAAGCAAATACTGGACTCTCACTCTAAATACCCTCCTCTCTCCTGGAAGAAGAGCTGGGGAGCTCATGGGAATAATTATGTCTTTCTAACCAGAGCCCAGGGTATAGAACTTGGGATGTGCCTGTAGATACTGTCACCGTGCTGCTCTGTACCTTGCCAAGAGTTGCTTCGAGGCCGTCCGTTTTCACAGATGTCCGAAATATGTTTTGTGTCTGGAATCCTTTCACTCCAAGAATGAGAGAGGCCATTTGACCTGAAATGGAAAATATTTTTATATTGTTCAAAAATGGAATCAGATGAACGCTTTGAAATCAGTAAGCAAAACTTATAAGCATCACTGTGCAGTAAATAAAACAAATCAAGAAAAAAATCTGAAATGAAAGAATGAAAAGAACATGAATATCTTCATGAAGAAGGCAGGATTACACAACATCCAATTTAAGAAAAGTCAAATACAATGGAACCCCATTACAATAGTCCATAAAGAAACACAAGCCAATCTGTATTCCCAGAGCACAGTATGCACGTGATACAAAGTTACTTTGTGTTTTGGTTATGTAAGCCCGGCCACAGTTATAATGGGGTCCCACTATAAATGTTTCTTAATTGTAAAGCAATGGCTTCCATTCAAATATTATGGGAACATGGACTTCCAAGAGATTGTTGTTAAGATTTGCTCAACTGAACCAGTCTCATTTTTATCAAAGTTATATTTATGGCTTCTTTAATAATATAATTATTTTCCAAGAAAATTGGCATTTTTTTCTCCACAAATATGATCCAAACAACTAGAGCACAAGTTGGTGAATTGTCCAATAGCTGAACAGAACAAGCTGAAAGTGTGTCATGGAAACGGCTCTCACAAAGCCCATGTACCATTGAGCCCTCAGCCTTCTCCTGTTAGCTTAAGTAAGTTATCTACCAGAAGCAAAATCTACACACCTACCTTGAATCCCAGAGCAAAATTCTGACAACTGCTTTAACATTCTTAAAGTCTCATAATTTGATAGATTTTTAACTGGCTCAAGTCGTAAGCCATTACTATTTTTTAAATTATTCAAAGGAATATTTTAAGCTCTTTTTAAGTACTTCACTAGCACTAAATTTATAAACTGTTTCCACATACCTTTCTGTTTAGTTGCTAATCATATCTATTTTTAAAAGAATTTACCAGTGAGTGAAAGCACACAGAACTCAACAGAGCTGTTACATGTTAATGGCCCAGGTTGGAACTTCTGAACATCATTTGCTTACAGAATGACTTCTGTTTTATAAGAAAGGATAACAGAAATTCTGTTGGAACTCACTTGTTTTTCTTTCTTTACTATGTTACTCAATTAAAAAAATCTGTATTTGACCAAAGAAATATTTATGTAAGAGAATTCAAGTATATCCCTGGTCATCTCCTAACCCACAAATGCTCAATAATTTCAAACATTTTTAAAAAAATCTTTCTATAGGCCCCACACTAGTACATCTGCATTTGCTTGAAATTCTCTTATCTATTATCTAAGTGAAAGCTGTCCTTCATGTTCAACAAAATTCCACAGAAAGCAGAGTTCCCAGATCTCACCAATTCCTTCTACTCTCCTTCTTCATGAATGTCCATAAAGACTGAGTACCACTGTGGAACTTTTACAGATAATCCATTTTGTCTAGGCCACCAGGATAGATCATGTTCCCATTTAAAAACTTAGCCATGTCACCCACTGTGCAAAATAATGGATGTGCCCAGACTTCTTTTGGGGGCTACCAAGACTTGTTTCCTATCCATTACACTCTTATTGCCAACTTTTAAAGAAATTCCCCATAAGAATATTTTAGCTTGCTTCAATGTAAATATACATCTCACTCCTTAAAGTACTTATATCCAACTATTTATTTCTTCTATCCATTTACTGTAATTATAAAGCATGCACAATTTAAACAGTGCCAATTACCTACTTTTAATTTAAGAATACAGAATCAATGTTTAAGACATAAAAATCTCACTTTACTGTTATAAAACTCAGGCAAATATTAAGCATAAATTAATTCATCAACTAAGGGAAAAACTAAGGGATAAAATCATGACATCTCCAAACAGTCATTCCAGAAAAAAAAAGGCAAAATCATAATATTCAAATACAAGAGTCACAGAGAAGCAATCTGTTTCACAGCAAGCTTAGCTTGTATATATATGAAATTTAAAAAAAAAATTCAAGACAGCACTTATATTATCAATTTATGTTAACTGCTTTTATTGAAGCATGACAGTAACCTTTTTCTTTGACTACCAAATATGACATAAAGCTCACCATTTTAAAATAGTATTAAAGTACGATGTTAGTTTCTATAGCAACTTAGTTTTTTAAGCATTGTAAGAGCAAGACTAAAATACCCTGGGGTTTCCATGCAGATTTGATTTGAGTTGTTTGTTTTATTTTGTTTCAATTTTGTGGCCTGATTTGCATACCAAGTGGCTCTGAGCATATGGCATTTTGAAATAGAGTAATCAAAGAACAAAGGATACTATTTTTTAACATTCAAGAAAGAAGGAAGAAGTAATCAAACCTGCTGCAAAATAATGAAATGTTCTGACTAATGGAATAATGTGGGATGGAACAGGTAGAAATCTGAAAATGCGACAGAAAGGCAGACCTCTTCTTAGAACTAGATGCGGAGTTTGTGCTGACTCCAGGAGGAATGTCGCTATAAAAAGAGTCGCCATCTCCAGGCTTTTTTACATAATCTCCCTGGGGTAACTGTCTAAGGCATAATAAACATTTCAGAGTCAGAAAACAAGACACACACATGAACACAGACATATACAAATATTATTTCAGGAAAAAAAAAGAGAGGTAGGGATAATGATCTACATGAATCAAATCTATAACAACACGTAAGATTATTAATAAATGTGACAAGTTAAAGTTATTCTAAATGTATTGATCAGAAATACAGTTACTGATGTCTTTGTGTAGACTGGAAGAAGGTTTTACTTTGGGAGGGAAACGTGGAAAGATGAGATTTTTTTAAACTGTAATCTCATAATTGGAGATGTTAGCTGCAGTTTTGTCTTTTAAAAAAATTGATGTGGAAGATGTACTAGGATAGTCCTTCTCAGATAAAGTAGTTTTTCCCCCACTGTAATACTCTTCATAATTTCTGAACATTATATGATAAATGTAACCTTGACTTGTTTTTTCTAAATTGATTGATTTCTAAGGTATTCCACAACTTAATTCAAATAAATTATTAGTTTGGTGTTCAGTTTGGAGTTTCATTAGTTATTTTTTAAAAATGAAGAAATCAAGAAGTCCAAGTTGAGTCAAAAGAGTAACTTTATAATAAAACTGTATTATACAAAGAGAGATAATCTACCAAAAGCAAGAAAGGATTGTGGAAACTACGGAAGGGTCTTTCTGGGTAGACCTGGTGACTTCCGTTGTCTCCACTGTCCTAAGTGCACAGCGAGGGGCAGTGTGTCATTCGGCACTGGTGCTACCCCCACTCGGCTCACTGTGAACTAAGGCTAGCCCAGATTTTTTTTCACTTCTCTTTAGGGAACGAGGGAGGAACTTTATATGGTGACCCCAGTCAACGACCCCACGCTACAGTAGCTAATGTGGTTGCTTGTCAATGTGTGGCCCTCAAACAGCCAACTAACTGCAGTCAACTCTTGACTCCTCCACTCAGGGCTAGTGTGCAAGGTGTCTCACATTAGTATAGGGCTTAGAGTTTTAAACACAGCTGTACTGGAGTAAATCTCCCAGGAAAGCAAACACATGCGTGGTCTCCCCTCAGTTACCATGATAATCTTGGTTACATGCTAATGCTAATTTTTTTCTCAAAAACGCCACTCTCAGATGTCTGCTTATTTATCTTGATTCTCATATTGCTGTAAATGTTTAAAACACTTAATCATCATTCTTTTGAATAACTGACAATCTCTCATATTACTGCAATGCTATTTATTCACACATGGTTATAAAGCTCAAAAATATTTTTCAATAGATATAAATCATGCATTTAATTTGTGCAATGTAATCTACTTTCTTTTAATTAAAGAAGGAATTTACCACTAAGCTAATCTGTAAGACTAATTCTAGTCACAAATCTTTGACATGGGCTCCTCTAAAATCTATACTTTTTAATTCTGAGGGTGAATCCAACTCATGACTATCCTTTCCTGTTACCAGTCGTGATATACTGATTTTACATGAAAAATAATATAAGCTTCTATATTTATAGTATTAATAACATATGAATAACTTATCTTCCTATGTGAGAGGTCTTTGATCTCTGGAATCATGGTTTGTTTTATCCTTTATCAGTAAAATGCACTAATACTGGGGGAAAAAATGGCCTTAATGAAATCAAAGTTCTATCTCTTCCCTGAGGGAGGAAACTTCCCTTTTGCATCATATTTATTAAAAATAACAGTATACAGTATCTTATCAACACATTTCCAGTAATAATGGCTAAAAGTTCTTTTTAACCATTATTGCCTTTAATGATGATCTTAATCAGGTGATGAGGTAGGTCTCCACAAATTCAAATTAACACAAGCTACTATGTAAGAGGTCAATCACACTTGAGCCCCCAAATGACCTTGCCTTTGCATGGTCCAGGCACATAAGCCTCTATTCCAGCATTTCTCAATACCTCAGCTAGCTGGCACTGCAGGTGCGCAGGGACTGCCTCCCACGGGGGAGTTGGAGCTTTTACTTTTGCCTTCTAGTGTAGCATGATTTACCAGTTTTTCAGTGTAACTTCTCTGAAGTCTACAGTCATGTTAGACACACTGCACAAAAATCCTAAATGCCAAGCACACCAAAATCTGTGGATTTCAGTCAAGGTGTTGGGAAGAAGTTCAGTTTAGTATACTTCTGGGGCACCTCCTTTTATTTGGCTAGCCAGAGTAGACTCTTACCTAGATTATCTAGCTTCACTGTAAAGCGTCCCAAACACAGACACTACTGCCTGCGTCCTCCTGGAAACACAAGGAATGGACACATCTTCTTTACATAGGAAATACTACTGACAGATTATGAATTTGTTAACAATATTTAACATATCTCACTCTCCCTTTTATGCATATTTAAAAAATGTTTCTTCAGTGAAGATAAAGATGATCAGTGATCCATAACCAATAACATTTTATTATTTTTTAGGAATGATCATAAAAGACCAACCAAATGATGCTCTTAAAATTCTTAATTGAATTTTTTTCAATCCTTTTTTAGGTGTTCTTCCTAAACTTTTACTATTTTTCACATTTTTTAAAAATTTAGAGTTTTTAGCACACTAACTACCCTGACTAGTGCTGCTGTTTATAACAGGTAGATTCCTCTTGTTTCTTACATTACATGCAAATACATGTGCAGATTTTTGTAAAGGATAAATCAAAGAAAAAAATGCTGTTTTTCTTCAAAATTATCCCTTTCTACATTAGTTATAGATTGCCTTTTCTTCTTTCCTATACAGCCTTATTTTATTTTGTGTTTTTAATTCATGCATCTCATTTAAAGTCAAGGACAAACTCTTACAGCTTACTGACTTTGGAGGAGCAGATACAAAGCACAATGATCCCTTCTCTGAAGGTCCCTGCTCATTGCTGTTTTGTTCTAATTCTCCTTCAGACTGAGTCAACCCAACTCATCATTATGTCATCTAGCTGTTGCATAAGAGCATTATGAATGTAAAAACTAAGGAATACTATTTCTTGGATACCACAAAAGCCTTTGGGCAAATGGTTGACCTCATTAGGAGAGAAGTCCGATCTTTCCTAAAATTACCCATTAAACTGTTACATTTATTTGCATAATCCCTAGGCATATGCAGAATGAGAAAAAATTTAACCACATCTAAGCCCTAATGCTAATGAAGACACTTATCCAGTGCTTTGTTGGTGTCTGACTTGTACCAGAATTGTTACTATACTGTTTTAAGACATATTCCATAAGGTGTTCTGAGTCACAATGATAGATGCATGAATATTGCTGGAACAATGATAATATAAAAAGGAACCAAGAAAGGCTTTAAAAAAAAAGTGGGAAATCCATAAGAAGAAAATAAAGTGGCTAAAACAAGTGAAAGAGAAAAAAATGAAGAGGAGAGGGTTCTGCTTAAAGTAAAACAATGGATTAGAAAGACATGACCTAAAGCATATTATTTCTCATCACTCATAGTGATGAGTGGTCATTTCAGACAAGGAAAAACTTTTCAATTAAATAGGGATACTTTATAAATCAAAGCTTAGCTAATGTTTTTTATTCTGTTGTAAACCTTCCCCAAAACTAAAGCCTATTTATAATTCTTGTTACAAACAATATAGCTGCTAAATCCTGAAGCTCTCATGCTAGCACACAAACAGCGAAGGCTGCTGCATGGCTCTCTGGCTGCATGGATCTACCTCTTGCCCAATAGCACTGGGGGCTTGAAAGTGATGCGATTTATAGTGACATGTGGGTTCAGCCCCAAAGTGAGACTTTCACTGATTTTTTAATAAGCAGTCTCTGAACAAAAAAGAATTCATGGCTTGTTTGTCATCTTTTTGTCAGCCTTGTTAGTAAATAAACATCACACTCCTCCCATATACTGAAAATCTCGAGCATCCATTCTTGGGAAGAAACACTGACCACGTTATCAGATTCATTTATGGAATTACTTGGTGGTGTTTGTTAATATTTTGAAAGTCATGCCCAAGTTGGCCTGCCTGAGCCACCCCAACACTCAAAGGAGTCTGAGGTTACATACTTAGTACATCTTGAATTTAGTGGCAAAACTTTATGTCCACCAACACTCTTACCAGTGTAAAGGGTACCGATAGGCCTCCTACTGCTGATGAATGCTGCCTTCCTTTTTGAAAACATTCTCCTCTTTCATGCATTGATCAGAAACACACAAGTCTCTTCACTGTAACACTTGGAGATTACACAGAATTTTGACTCTGAGTTGAGGAAAGTTTAAGTGATTTTTTCCAACATCACACATTAGTGTATTTCCAATTAGTGCATTTCTGGTTTTCCTCCCATAGAACCTCAAAGGAAAACCTAATTGAAAGGCAATGCTAACTCAAAGCTATACATTCTACTTCCTAGTATCCTTTGGAAATGATCAGATCTCTCTATGCAAGTAATCTCCTTCTTTTTTTTTTTTTTTTTTTTTTGGTGGAACTGGGAATTGAACTCAAGCCCTTGTGCTTGCCAGGCAAGCGCTTATTCAATTGAGCCATCTCCCCAGCCCCTCTATGCAAGTAATCTTACAAGACTGAAAACTTCTTAATATATGTGCTAGTACTGTCTCTGTATCACTAATGTATACTCTCAAAAAGAGACACTCTTTATTTAGAAGACACACATTCCCAACTTTCTGACCTAAAGGTTGTAGGTTGTACAAACCTAACACTAACTATGGACAAGGGAAAAAAAGATGTTTTCACAACTATCCACTAAAGATGTAACAACTCTCATAATACGGACTCAATTCCAAAAGCATAGCCAGATTCATGCAATGATTTAGTGACATTGCATGGAATTATACCATGCAATGTAGGAGATTCTGCACGTGAAATGTCTTAACTCCACTCATATATTGATTTAGAATGAAAAATGAATGTGTACTTTAATTTTTTTTAAGTGTAAATTTATGTACTTGGTACAGGGTCTCACTATGCAGCTTGCACAGTATGCGGTGCCAGAGATCGAACCTGGCCTTTGCACTTGCCAAGCAGGTGCATAGACTGCTGAGCTATCTCCATGGTCCCCTGATTGAGTACTTTAAAATATTAATTATTTTTGTAGTGTGGGCAATTTCCTTATTCTAGATAACATCCCTACTGAGGACATCTTAGAGCACTATTTTGCTATTGCTGATATTACATATTGAGACATTTTCATTTACTTTTTATATATTCAGCAGGATTGTATTATAGTCTAACGGAAAAAGAGCTGAGTCATCAACTTTTTACTTATCTACATAATTCTGTTTTCCATCAAAGAAGGTTACCAGCCTCAGATTTTTCAGTATGCTGACTAGTTACTTATATTCAACAGAAAGTATAAGTGGTTGCTGCTCCACTCAAGTGCTCCAGGACACAGTGTTTAAAGTATGTCACAAAGAAATCTAGCTATTTTTAAAGTTTAGTCAATTTTCTCTTGGTTTTACTGTTTCCATTAATTATGAATTAGCTCCTCCCAGATAAGGTTAAAATTTTCTACTATCTGTGCTAAGTGATCAGGATTTTGATTAATCCCCTGTGAGTACCAGACATTTGAAGAGTCTGTAGATGTTTATGTCTAAAGCCTTGCAAGGGTTTGAACTGACAACACAGAAGTGCAAGAGTAAAGTTCAAAATTTTGATTTGTGATAAAATGAAGGTTGGGGCCAACATCTCAAAACGTATCATCACATTTTTTATACTTTACTCCTAACCGGCCACTGGCCCCTAATGGAACAATGGAAACGATCAAAAGGTAAGAATCTGAATAAGTGCCTGGAACACAGAGATAACACTGTGCAAGACCTACCCTGGATCATTAACCTCCAGGGTTATCTTTTAATTTTGGTATTAATGACTAACAATACTAGTAACTGTCTGGATGCCAAAGGTCAAGGTTATAAGCTGGGGTGATGGTGTATGTCTCTGAGCCCACCACTCTGTGGGCTGAGGGAAGAAGACGGCAAGTTGAAGCTTAGCCTGGAGAGCAAAGGGAGACCCTGCCACACAAGGGGGGCAGGCAGGGCTCTCGCTCCCTGTGAGGTCCTGAGTTCAGCCTCCAGTACCACTAAAAAAGGAAAAAATCAAAAATGGGAAGGATATAGTGTAGTATTTGGCAATTTAAATATAGGTAAAATAGGTAATTCTTATAGAACAATATGAATATAAAATATCTCTTTTTACACTGTGGCTAAACATAAATTATAAGGGAATGCTAAATAGCGGGTCTGGCTTTGGCTGGCATTTTTATTTGTAAAACAAGAGAGAACCCAATTACTTCTTTACCTGAGTGATTACCTAATCTGTACAAAAGTATTTTCTTACATAGTTAACTAGTTCACTAGGTACCAGAACTTTCCCCTGACAGCAACACTGCAGCCAGATAAATATTTGTCATTTATGAAAGAAAGTTATTACTGTAACAGTAACAAAGAAAAAATAAATTCCTTTGTATGAAACCAAGCAATCGGGGTGTTATAAACATGAAGAGAAGCCAATAAACTAATGTAAACAAACATGACAACTTCACATACAGGAAGTTTATTTCAGATGGAAAAAATTCATTTTTATATGCTATTATAAAGTAATACAACTTAAAATTATTTCAGGATCATAAAAAATATCAAGATCATCCTTGCATAAAAACAAAGGGAACTTGATTAATAATTGCATATATGAAATTCAATAATGTGAAAGAGTTAAACCTTTTAGTACTATATTCAAATTATTCTTATTACATACCTCTGTTCTCGATAGTTTCTTTTCATGAACAAGAAGAGAGGGGGGAAAACACAAAAATTAGTTGTCTATGGAAGTACATTAGTAGAACACTAAACATAAAAGCTATAGCATTCATTGAAAGGTCTCTAGAATAGGACTTTAGTTGCAGAATTAAAATGGGAAATGTACACCAAAATGATTCATGCGGTCATTAGGATAAGTAGCACTAAAAGGTTAGTGACAATATTGTCAAATAATTACATTTTAAAAAATGTAATAAATAAGCTGTACTTAAGAATAACTTTTCTCAAATCAATTTCATTATACTAAACATTTCATAATGTTCTAATGTCAATCCTATTTTGGATGTAGGTTTTCAGATGTACACATAGATTTTAATAACAAAATTTATGAATCCATTTATGTTCCTAAGTTAACTGCATTTCATAGAAATAAAATCATGGTTTATTCCTTTTGGAATACAATTCTCCAGCTACAGCCAATCCTAAAAATTTAAAATATAGGAACATACATGGACACCAGGATATTTCATCATGTATAATAAATAAGAGTTAATTCATGGCTGTTATGGACCTAAGTTATTACCATTTATTCATTCAAACTTTTCACTAGAAATATCTGCTCAAAGCTTACTGTATTTTTTCATTTCATTTCATTTTATTTTATTGGTACTGGGAATCAAACTCAAGACCTTGTGCTTCCCAGACAGGTGAGCTATATCCCCAGTTCTTAATCTATTTATTTGACTATAAACTAAAATGAATTTACACATGTTACAAAATAAACTGACCTTAAACCAAAATTTGTTCTAAAATGGTATGGTAGTATAGTGCCAATAAGTGAGGGATATTTTTTCAAAAGAGTTGCTAACTTTCTATTTTGACACATTTGTTAATATTCTGAAGACATGTTGGATCAAGGGACTGAGTTGTTTGGAGTTCTTTACTATAAAAGATCAAGGATGTAGTTAGGCATAGTGATACATGCCTGTAATCCTAGCACTCTGGAAAGCTGAGACAGGAGGATCACAAGTTCAGGTCCAGACTGAGCAATTTAGTAGTGAGACCTTGTCTCAAAATAATAATAAAAAGTTTAAAAAGGGTGAGGGATGCACCTTTTTTATTCAGGTTAGTGCGAATAACCTGAGTTCAATTCCCAGTACTAATATAAATAAAATACCAAGGTATTTCCATATGAATTTCATTTGTAGCACCTTCACCTGGCACCCCATTTTATCTACATTATAAGAATAATAATGGGAAGATAAGGATATAATGTCAATTTGTTATTATTTTTAATTCTGGGAACTATCAGATGGGGGAAAAATATAAACATGTTATCTTTCTTTCCAATACATTTTCCTTTTTATTCTTAGTCTGATTATCTGAGATATATGGCTCCAATCAAGTAATTTGCATTTCCTTTTCCATAAGATTTAGAGAAAGAATAACTAGAGAAATTAGTAGAAAAAAATTACTCCCCAGACCCTAAAATTGTTTTTGGATTTATACCACCTTTATTACTTTCTATTCTGAATATTTTTAGGTCATTACAACTTTAATCATTTAGGCTCAAATTACTAGAGGATACTGTAATTTGAATAATATTTGCCTTTTTCCTTAATCAACCACCAAAGTACATATATTGAGAAATATTTTTTTCAAAAAGTAAAATCCCAAAAGGAACCAATGGAAAAACAGGTGAGGTCAACAAACATAGCAGTAATTTCAGAAGCAATAGGAAAGATTTCAAATTGCCTGAATGGGAAATTTTTTATGCTTTTTGTTTGTTTGTTTTTTTTCCCCAGTAGCAGGGACTGAACTCAGGACCTTGCACTTGCCAAGCAGGCACTTATTCTACTGAGCTATCTCCCTGAATGGGAAGTTATTTGTGATTATAAGAATGAAACATCTATTTGCACCAGTAGGTGGTAGAAAGTCACACACTCTAGAGTTTGTGACTGTTCTATTCCTGATCAAATGAAGCCATGGAGCTACTTTGAAACAGCAATGCCTGTGATGATGATTACTATATAAGACTGACATCATGTAAACTACGGAAGTTTGCATCAAAGTTTGACTTGCAGGTGGCGTTAACCTGCCTGCCAGGCAAGGAGAGATCAAATGATCAAGACATAGCAAAACACTCCTTTCATAAATGCAATTTCATAACTGCAAATGTTCCGCCAAGCCACACTGTTCAAATGCAGTATGCCTCGCAACTTGCACATTCACTGGCCTGAGGGGCTGGGACAGGGCGAGGCACACAGATCCAGGGAGGGCAGAGCTCTCTGAGGCTGTGTACCCTTCAACGCACTCTGCAGGTCATCGGTACCACGCTGCACCAAACGGTGCCTGTTCCACTTGGTAATGCTGTTTCCCTAAGTGCCTTTCTATATTTTAAGGTCTGTAACACACAGAATTTATCCTGGCAGTAAACTAACTGGTTTCACTTTTCAGTCAAAGACAGTCTTTCAGGGCTCTGGCATCACAGGAAATGGCCACGTACACTTTTAAATGTGTCTCCTTTAACGCCATTAGTGTCAGACCACGTGAGACGACCCTAATGCAGCAAATGTGTGCAGTGTTGTCTGTGGACCGGGTGCCACCCCAAACGTTTGCCACGCATTAACCTGTACAGCAAAAATGCGTCTTTTAAGAGGAATGGGACGATTTAAAATGTAAAATGTTCCTCTTCTGCTTCAGTCCTCCATCCAGTGTGTGCTCTTGCCTCTTAACCTATCCATGTCTTCTCACAAGACTTTCCGAATCAAACAATTTCTGGCTGAGAAGCAAAAGCAGAATCATCCCAATCCTCAGTGGATTCGGATGAAAACTGGTAATAAAACCCATTCCAAGAGGAGACACTACTGGAGGACCATGCTGGGGTGGTGAGGAGCTGTACACGAGGGGCAGCACATTTACCCTCTGGGAGGTCACACGATGATACCCTCTTTAATCACTGTCAAGACAGTACTGAATTAAGCTGAACAAATAACCATTGGCTGGACAATGGAATATGCTAAATCAGGAATCTTAATTTTTTTTCTATGATCAGTACAATTGAATCAACAACCAATATTTAAAACCTTCTAAAAAATGTAAAGTATTGTAATTTCCAATTCAGTGACTTAAGTTTAATCCATGAGGAAAAATACAATATGAAATGAAGAAATGCCCAGAATGCCTAACAGAAGTTGCAGATCTTCCAAATGGAATAAAACCTCAGGCTGGTGCACTGAAATGTAATCATCAGAAATCAGCAGACTGTGATTTGAAGTTGAAATATCGAAGTGAAATACGTTCATTATAGTTGACTTTGACTTCTTCAATTCACTATTTGAATACTAACTACTTAGGAAACTAACGGCTATTGACCTCCACCCCAACACGTATATACAGTTAAACATTTGAAGGCATTTACTTAGCAAAATTCTTGTATGTAGAGTGTCAAACATTATTTAAAAGTAATATGACTTTTAACTTTTCAAAATTTGTATGTTGCAGCAAAGGCATAAGTAGAACTATGGAATTTAAGAAAAAATCAGGCTTTCAAAAAATTTATAACATGAAGTTAAACTATAATTTTAACAGATTAAATTCTATAACAATCTTTTCTTCACAGAAAAAC